GGGGAGGGGCTGCAGGTGTGGGGGAGGAGCTACAGGTGATGGGTGGGTGTGGGGGAGGGGCTGAAGGTGAGCCCCAGGTGCGAGGGGGAGGGGCTACAGGTGATGTACAGGTGTGCGGGAGGGGCTACAGGTGTGAGGGAAGGCCCCAGGTGAGCTCCAGGTGTGGGAACCCCCCCCGACCCCTCACCTGTCCCAGGTGTGAAGGTTTCCCCTGACCCCTCACCTGTCCCCAGGTGTGAAGGTTCCCCCTGACCCCTCACCTGTCTCCCCCCCCAGGTGCAGCCCCCACCTGTGCGTACCTGGTGGCGCTGCTGGTGCTGATGACGTCACTGGGCGGGGCCCTGCTCTGGCTCACCTTGCGGGCCAGGTGTATCCCAGGTGAGTCCCGCCCCTGCCCCGCCCCCCAGGTGTCCCCAGGTGTCCCCAGGTGACATCAGGTGACATCAGGTGTGTCCCCAGCTCACCTGGGCGCCCCGAGGGCCCCCGGCAACATTTACCTGCCCAGGAGAGCCTCACCTGGTGAGACCGAGGTGCTGCAGCTGAAGGACGACGCCCCCTGAGCTCACCTGGAACTCACCTGGCCGAGCTCACCTGGAATCCCTCACCTGGAGCCTGGAACTCACCTGGAATCCCTCACCTGGCCAAACTCACCTGGAGCCCCTCATGCCTCAACTGGCTGCTCTCACCAGAACCCCTCACCTGGAATCTCTCACCTGGCTGCTCTCACCTGGAATCCTCATCTGGAACTCACCTGGAACTTATCTGGAACTCTCACCTTTCCCTTCTCACCTGAACCTCACCTGGAGGCTCTCACCTGGAATCTTCACCTGGCCCCTCTCACCTGGAACTCATCTGACCTCTCTCACCTGGCTGCTCTCACCTGAATCTCACCTGGAATCCTCACCTGGTCTCTCTCACCTGGCTTCTCTCACCTGGAGCTCATCTGACTTCACTCACCTGGCTGCTCTCACCTGGAGCCTCTCATGTCTCACCTGGAATCCCTTACCTGGCCACTGTCACCTGAAACTCACCTGGAATCCTCACCTGGCCTCTCTCACCTGGAATCTCTCACCTGGCCACTCTCACCTGGCTCCTGCCCCGCCCCCCTCTTCGGCAGCACCTGAAGCTCTCAGGTGTCCCCACACACCTGGACAGGTGAATAAATTAAAAATGGCGTCTGGAGCCTCCAGGTGTGAATTTCAGGTGTTCCCATCCCCCCAGGTGTGAATTTTGGGGGTCCCCCCTCCCCCACCCACCCCTGAAGCCCCAGGTGTGACTCAGGTGAGACCGGCGATGACGTCATCAATTAATCCTTTAATGAATGATCCAGGTGTGCCCCGCCCCCAGCGCTACAGGTACCGCCCAGAAAGGTGGGACAGGTATGCCCAGGTGTGCCCCAGATGAGCTCAGGTGTGTCCCACGTGTGCTCAGGTGTGCCCCAGATGGGCTCAGGTGTGTCCCAGATGAGCTCAGGTGTGTCCCAAGTGTGCTCAGGTGTGCCCCAGATGAGCTCAGGTGTGTCCAGATGAGCTCAGGTGTGCCCCAGATGTGATCAGGTGAGCTCACGAATGCTAAAATGTGCCTCAGGGGTTCCCAGGTGTGTCCCAGGTGAGCTCAAGTGTGTTCAGGCAAGCTCAGGTGTGCCCCAGATGTGGTCAGGTAAGCTCAGGTGTGGTCAGGTGAGATCAGGTGTGCCCTAGATGTGCTCAGGTGAGCTCAGGTGTGCTCAGGTGTGCCCCAGGTGTGCTCAGGTGAGCTGTCCCCATCCCATCACCCAAGGGGTTTCCCCCAGGCCTGGGCAGGCCCCGCCCCATCCAGGTGTGCACCTGGAGCGCCCCCACATGCACACGAGTCCATCCTGGGCTCAGGTGAGACCTGGCAGTCCTGGGGTCACACCTGGCCACAGGTGAACCCTGGGGGGGTCCCCCAGTTCCTCGTCCGCTGTTGGTGACGTCACAGCTCAGGTGTGGCCATGCTGGGGCCCCTCACCTGGGGCTCAGGTGCTGCAGAGTCCAGGGTTCACACCTGTCCTGGGATCCCTTCACGTGTAGCTCAGGTGTTACTGTCCAGGTGTTGCTTCTGCAGTTTTGGAGTCCACACCTGCCCAGGTGTGCAGTTCCAGGCCCACACCTGTCCTGGAGTGCAGAACCGGGGTCCTCTCACCTGGGGTTCAGGTGTTGCAGTTCAGGTGTTGCTGCTGCACCTTTTTGGGGTCCAAAACACATTTGTGGGGTCCACACCTGTCTGGGCTCACAGGTACCGAGTCCCCTCACCTGGGGCTTCATCCACGGCGCTCAGGTGTCACTGTCCAGGTGTTGCTGCTGCAGTTTTGGGGTCCACACCTGTCTGGGCTCACAGGTATTGAGTCTCCACACCTGGGGCTCAGGTGTCACAGTCCAGGTGTTGCTGCTGCAGTTTTGGGGTCCACACCTGTCTGGGCTCACAGGTACCGAGTCCCCACACCTGGGGCTTCATCCACGGGGCTCAGGTGCTTCAGGTCCAGGTACTGCAGATTTTTGGGGTCCACACCTGTCCTGGAGTGCAGAACCGGAGTCCTCTCACCTGGGGCTCAGGTGTTGCAGTTCAGGTGTTGCTGCTGTAGATTTGGGGTCCACAGGAGATTTTTGGGGTCCACACCTGTCTGGGCTCACAGGTACTGAGTCCTCCCACCTGGGGCTTCATCCACGGGGCTCAGGTGTTGCTGCTGCAGATTTGTGGGGTCCACACCTGTCTGGGCTTACAGGTACTGAGTCTCCTCACCTGGGGCTCAGGTGTTGCCACTCAGGTGTTGCTGCTGCACCTTTGGGGTCCACAGGAGATTTTTGGGGTCCACACCTGTCTGGGCTCACAGGTACCGAGTCCTCCCACCTGGGGCTTCATCCACGGCGCTCAGGTGTCACTGTCCAGGTGTTGCTGCTGCAGTTTTGGGGTCCACACCTGTCTGGGCTCACAGGTACCGAGTCCTCCCACCTGGGGCTTCATCCACGGGGCTCAGGTGTTGCCGCCTCACCTTTTTGGACCCCCACAGCCGTCCAGGTGAGCCCACCCGCGGCTCAGGTGTCGCGGTGCACGCGCTGGTGCTGCAGCAGGTTGGAGGGGTGTGCGAAGCCCTTGGCGCACACCCCGCACTTGTAGGGCGTCTCACCTGTGTGCACCTTCTCGTGCACGGCCAGGTAAGCCAGGTCCTTGAAGAACTTGTGGCAGTGGCTGCACTGGTGCGGCCTCACCTGGCTGTGCACGCGCCGGTGCTGCAGCAGCAGCGAGGGCCGGGCGAAGGCTTTGCCGCACGCCTCGCACCTGTACGGCCGCTCACCTGTGTGAGCCCGCTGGTGGATGGCCAGGTAAGACGACTGCTTGAAGGCCTTGCCGCAGGTGCGGCAGGCGAAGGGGCGCTCACCTGTGTGCACGCGCTCGTGCGAGGCCAGCGCGTTGCTCTGCTTGAAGGCCTTGCCGCAGAGCGCGCACCTGAAGGGGCGGTCACCTGTGTGCACGCGCTCGTGCACCTTGAGCGAGTGGCCGTAGGTGAAGCGTTTGCCGCAGACGCCGCAGGTGTGCGGCTTGTCCTGGCAGCGCTGCCGCCGGTGCAGCAGCAGCGCGTTGGCCGCCGGGAAATCTTTGCCGCACTCGCCGCACCTGAACGGCTTCTCGGCCGCCAGGTGAGTCAGGGCGTGGCGCTGCCTCTCGTAAGGGGTTTTAAAACCTTTGGCGCACCTGGGACAGGTAAAAGGGCGTTCGCCGCTGTGGATGCGCCGGTGCTCCTGCAGGTTGGAGGAGCGCTTGAAGCGTTTCCCGCACAGGTCGCACCTGTGCGGCCGCTCCTCCGTGTGCACCAGGGCGTGGCTCTTGAAGTCCGAGTGACGCTTGAAGGTGGCCTGGCACAGGTGACAGGTGTAGGGCCGCGCCTCGGTGTGCACCACCTCGTGGCTCAGCAGCTCCCAGGCGCGCTTGAAGCCCTTGTGGCACACGGAGCACTGGAAAGGTTTCTCGGCCACGATCACCTGGCGGATCTCCAGGTGAGCCGCGGAGTCCTCGGGCGCTTCCGGGTCTGCGGCGGCGCCGGCCTCACCTGGCGCACCTGCGTGCCCGCCCAGCACCAGTTTGGCCGTGGAGTAGACGCCGCGCTCGTCGATGAGCTGCACGAAGGCCGGAGAGGAGCCGGCCTCACCTGGCTCAGGTGAGCTGCTCCGAGGTTCCGGTTCACCCCACAGGTGCAGGTGGGAGGGGCCCGGCTCTTCCGGGGGTGGGCGTGGCCGCAGGTAAAGGCGGGGCCGGCGCGGCGCAGGTGGGAGCAGGTGGGAGGTGGAGGCTTCACCTGGTTCCTCCTGTTGCTCTTCCTCACCTGGGTCTTCATCATCCTCACCTGGGCCTTCGTCCTCACCTGGGTCTTCTTCATCATCATCATCATCATCACCTGGAACTTCCTCACCTGGATCCTCTTCACCTGTCCCTTCTTCCTCCTCCTCATCCTCCTCCTCCTCACCTGGTTGTTCACCTGTTCCTTCCTCACCTGGCTGCTCCTCCTCCTCCTCGGACAGGTGAGGGATCCCCTGGGAAAAGGGGGGATCCTGCAGCTCCTCCATGGTCACACCTGGGGAAGGGGGAACGGGGACAGGTGAGGGACAGGTGAGACAGGTGAGGGACAGGTGAGACAGGTGAGGGACAGGTGAGGGACAGGTGAGACAGGTGAGACAGGTGAGACAGGTGAGGGACAGGTGAGGGACAGGTGAGACAGGTGAAGAATTGGGAAT